AAATTAAACAATTTCATATTTCTTTAACAATTTTCTTTGATCGTTTTCTTAAAGAAATTAACTGATCCCATACTTTTATAGTAATTTTCCAGATTATTCCATAGTCTTATACCTTTGACTGAAGTGCATCTGTCCTTCAAATTTGTTTTGTTTTTCGGTTTAACAAACATTTGTAATCCCTTCAAGTTATAGCAGCTTTCCCTCTTAACAAAATGTGATTGGATGTTTGATGGCAACACATTTCTATGAGCCTCATACATAACCTGCAGAATGTTATAATCAACCAACTCATGAAATTTTAATTCAGAAAATTTTTACTCTAACTTAACTCGGTTACAAAAAAGGTTTCCAATTTCTAGGAATAAATGCAGGAAATAGAGCACTATTTTAAAACAGCCCAGTTTGTTTTCATGTATTTAGTTGAGTCAKTTCAGTTGTGTTTTTAGTCTAAATTAAAACTGGTAGAGTCATAATGACGTAATTTATTTGACTTTTACACAGTTATTGTTCTTTTTTCAGCTATAGGTTTTTCTGATTTTACACAGTCAGGTACACTGGTACACACACAGTACATTTATGTTCTGTTATTACGTCATTTCAATAGAAGGGGCAGCTGTGACAGCATAAAGAGAGAAGTGTTAAAGAGACTAAGTGTAGAACACAAAAGATAGGAGATATTCTGTACTGTGTTCAGTCATTATGAACCAATAGTTAAGAAACATCCCTACTGAGGACAAGGCCCTGATCTATCCATCATCCCACCATCACTCATGAATGAGACACCCAGATACTTAAACTCCGCCACTTGAGGCAGGACAGCACCTTGAGATCCTGTCCATAAACACTACAAACAGGATCGGAGAAAAAGGWCAGCTCTGGTAGTGTCTAAGTGTCTGTTTTTTGTACGGGGACTGCATCGCTCTTAACAGCAACGCAGACGCTCCATACTCCTGCAGCACCCCCCAACAGGAACACGGTCTTTAGCCTTCTCTAAAACATATGTAGACCTGAGAAACAAACTCCCACGACCCCCTATCCTCAAGGGTAAAGATCTGGTTCACCGTTCCACAACCAGGATGAAAGCCACACTGCTCCTCTCGGAGTTTCCCTTCCAAAACCCGGGGAGGGCAACAAGTGTGATCCACGATAGGTAGAAACACACTCTGTAGTCTCACCTTTTAAAAATGGGAACCACCACCTGCCTCACTWCAGGAGTCGTCCCGGTCATTGTGATGTTGAAGACGGCGAGCGGCTGTGGTAGAGTGGTTAGGGGAGTCGCCCTGGAACCAGAAGTTCGCCGGTTCGATCTAGTCGACTCAGTCGTTGTGTCCTTGGGYAAGACACCTTACCTGCCTTGCCTACTGATGGTGGTCAGAGGGTCCGGTGGCACCTGTGTATGGCAGCCTCGCCTCTGTCAGTGTGCCCCAGGGCAGCTGTGGCTACAATTGTAGTTTGCCATCATCAGTGTGTGAATGTGAATGTGTGAATGTCTGTAGTGTGAAGCACTTTGAGTGTCCTGGATGGATAGAAAGGCGCTATATAAGTACAGTCCATTTACCATTTGAAGAGAGGCGTAGAGGAGCTACCTCTGCCATGGTAATGGACTCGTCTTCCCCCCGAGTCCTCAGGCTCTGCCTCCTCAAAGATACAAAAGCCGTCCTCATGGAGGGTGGATTGAGGAGATCCTCGAGGTGTTCCTTCCACCGCTCAATGAAATCCTCAGTCCGGTTCAGCAGTTCCCTACCCAAACCAAACAGCCTGGGACAGGGAACGCTATAAATAACTTCCTCGTGGCCGAGTGAAAGTCCTTCTCCATGACCTCCCCGAATTCACCTGCAACTACCAAACCCTCAAACCTTCTGGCCACCAAATTATACTATCTTTTTAATTTTTAAAAAGATTCAATCAAACCTTGAAGCCTTTTATTAACACAAAAAATAATTTCCGTTATTTTTAAAAACACAATAACCAATACCCGAAGCAAAAAAAAAAAAAAAAAAAAAAACATTTGTGTGATCATTAAAAGTGGCTTTATGTATTCTTCTCATAGTTCTTTTCTGAAGTTTATCATTGGGTCCAATTTGTTTTCATATGCACTTACCCAACTTTCACCCAATTTAACACAGTATGTGTAGATCTGTACAGTTCAGGCAAAAATATTATCTAGCTCATTTCAATTCAAACTACCAACATATTTGAATAAATTATTTTGATGTAAATGTTATGCGTGGTTTGTCCAAATTTGATCAATTGAAGTATCTTTCAGGTTTGTTGCTCTGAATGCTGATTACTATTTTACTTTTAACCAGTCATTTTTTTTACCTGACAAGTCCAACCATTTTCAAAGGTTTAGTATTTTTCTTTCATCTCAGTTTTAGCTTCCTCAGCACATTTCAGCAAAGTCACTCAGAACTCAGTATTCAATTTATACAGTCTTTTTGTGTGAAAATGTAATTTCTCTATTTTTGTTTTCACTTTCTCTTCCCTGTTTTCCAGGAGCCCAGGGGTTCACAGTTTCTCCTGATCCAGGCTCCACCCTCAGCATCAGCAGCATCAGAGATAAAAGCTGCAAAGTGTGCACAGGTTCAGGTCGTTCACAACAATGTAACTCCTTCCTGGTGKTGACAGACAAAACTCCTGTCAGTGTGGAGTTTACATGCTCCAGACCTCAGGATGTGTTTACTGTAGAAACTGTGCGAGACATAGGTGAGATTCAAACTATCGTAATCTTCGTTGTTTCTTGTTGACTATAAAAACGTCACATTTCCATTTCTCCTCTCAGTCTGCGGCAAAAGCTCCTGCAGCAAAAACATCATGCAGGACGGCTCCGGTCTGCAAAGCTTGTTGAGTTTTCACCGCAGGTTCACCTGGAACATAACTGCTTCTTTACAAGAAGCCTTCAGATTAGACTTGACCAAGACGGGCCTGAGACAGATCGGTCCATCAGAAACATGTCCTGATAAACACACCTTCACTCTCCGGGCTAAAGGAGAGGTTCTTGTAGGGAAATACTGCAGGTCTGGTTCTATCAGCAGGGCTCAGGTCCTGGGTCAGGGCAGCTTTTCTGTGGATGTCCCTGCAGGACAGCAGCTGCAGATTAACCAGATTGATGTCTCTGTGGGGGACAGGATCTATAGTAAGTTGGTTATTATTTTTTTCTTTTGTTTTCTTGTCACATTAACAAATCAAAGTCACATTAACCAATCTTTTTTTCTCTCAGCTTTTGCCAAAATCTCCCTCACGATACCAAAAGGCCCCTCGACCTCTGAGCTGCTGTCACCAAACTACCCCAACAGTTTTCCTGATGACGACGAGATGCAGTGGGACTTCCAGGTTCCTCCTAACCACAAAGYWGCTGTAGAGTTTCTGAGCTTCACAGAGCCGCAGTGTTGGAAGAAGCAAACGGCGATGGAGTACCGGAGAGGAGTCAGGTCAGCGTTGCGCCTGAGCCTGACTGAAGCCCAGCCGCAGCGGTTGCAGGGCAGCTTCTCCATGATCCTCAGCAACTGTGCGATGGATCCAAAAGGTCCTGGTCCTGGACTCTCCTTGAACTTCACAGTGTCTGTTTCGAGTTTAGAAGGTTTGTTCCGACTTTTTAACTGCTTTCATGTAACGAGGGCTGCAGACAAATGTTTTTATTATTAAAATCAAACGAAGAATTAATTGTTTAGCAACTTAGTTGATTAAATTTATGCTGCAGTGTGACGTTAATTAATACGCAATTACAAACACTGTTCCTGGAGCTTTTTTTCTTTTACTTTAAGTACACAAATGGTAGAGTACAGGCTTATGTACAAGTACAATACACATTTTGAGGCAACCAAATAACAATGAACACAAACATGAAGAGTAAAAAGCCACACAAGCAAAATAAAACAGAAAACAATGTATTAAAATCCTAAATATCAAGTTGAGCCACATTAAAAGAAGGTGTCACAATATTATAAAGTCATAGTGTTGACATTGGAGCTAATTGGCAGTACGGYGSCTCAGTGKTTAGCTCCGACGCCTCACAGCAAGAMGGTCCTGGGTTCGATCCCCGGTTCAGACCTGGAGTCTTTCTGTGTGGAGTTTGCATGTTGTCCTCGTTGGGTTTTCTGCGGGTACTCCGGTTTCCCCCACCCTCCAAAAACATGTCCAGTAGGTTGCCTTAAGGCCCAGACCTCCCTTGAAAAAGAGATCTGCAATCTCAACGGGACTTGCCTGGTTAAATAAYGATAAATAAATAAAATCCAAACGATTAATATATTTTGTGAATTTGCATGTAACGGTTTTAAAAATAAATGGAATTTTATGAAGGTATACCTCCCATAAAAAGACATATGAATACATGTCCCAATGCAGTATTTTTCAACCCTGGTCCTCAAGGCACTTTGCTCCGCATGTCCTTCTTCTTCTTCTGGATTTTTTTTGGCGGTTGGCTAAAAAGTTTACCGCCACCGACTGGTATGGAGTGTGGTTCAGATGTTGAGTATTTCTAAATTGTTATCTATGTATAAACTATATATTCAACCTTTATTAATCAATTTTTTTAATCTTATTGATTTGCTCCCTAAATGCTTTTGTTGAGTGTCTATTATGTTCCTCGTATTTTTTCTCTCTTCTTTATATTTATAACATTCTAATACAGCATGTTCTATTGTTTGATCCTGCCCTGCATGTTTTAGAAGTTCCCCTGCTTTAACACACCTGATTCAGATGACTGCRGTTTAACAAAAYGCTTGCTAATCTGTCAWMAATTAAAATCAGCTGTGTTAAAGCAGGGAAACATMTAAAACATGCAGGGCAGTGTGCCTTSAGGACCAGGGTTRAAAAACACTGCTCCAATGCATTTTAAGTTTTAGGCATTCATAGGTGACGTGATGTAAAACCTAAAACTRTATCAAAACTATGTAAAACCTAMGACTATTGCATGGTCACACAAACYTACGTCATCCAAAGACTAGACYGTCTCATTTCACAGCTGCTTTAATCAGCCTAAGAGGACTTCAAGGGTTTTTACACCATGGTCTGTGGTCCACGTGGTCCACAACCCCTGAATTTTGAGACACAGCTTATACCATGCAGCAGTGATGTTTTTTCTGTCATTTCAAATGTAAATCTAGTCCCAGAGATTGAATCACATGTCTCTATTTTATGACTTTTCATTATCTGAAGGGGTGTACACATTAAGTACTGGGGGTATTGRGACTTGTCTTGCAGCTACAGGACCTGGGCCCCTTGCAGTCCTTGAGTCGAYCATGAATCCTTTGTAGAGCAGAGTATTTTAGAGTCAGCTGTGAGGCCATCTGTCTAACAGATGACGCTTGGCCCAAACTGGCTSAATAAACAGCAGAATAACCTCCAACACAGCATCAGAATCAAATCTACATCAAGTCGATGAGTAATGGTGATGTGTGGAGGAGCTGATTGCCTCATCTCTGAGTCAGGAATGACAGCTGTGACACATTACAGGAAATATTTTTCATCTCTGATCTAAGTAGGGTCAAACATTTGTGTTAGCATGTCTGAATGTTGCAGGTAAGTAAAGCCACTAATTAAAATCATGTTTTTTATGTTTTCCTTTAGTGTTGTGTCAAGTGGACGCCAGCAGTGTGAAAGAYTTTTCTCTCCATATTAATCAAGTGAGGATGAACTCCGACTGCCAGATGAAGATGAACTCGGTGACGATGAGGAACATTACACTTACAAACAGCAGTGAACTGTTTTTCAAAAACTGTTTCCCCGAAGACATTGAAGTTACAGCTAAACGTATCATAGGTAAGTCAAGATTTACAGCCTGGAACAAGAAGCAGATGAGGGGTTTTTCAGTGATCTGGCTTAAATAATCTTAACAATGGTAATATGATTCTGGTGGTGGAATTGGCAACAAACAACCATCGAGAAACAAAAAAGAAGAGTATAGACTTTAGCTACATCAGAACTAGTTTCTTCTGAGATATGAACACATAATGGACTCTCCCACTGTCGTGTTTCTTTACTTTTTCATTTTCTGAGACATTTTGTTGATCAGAAGGTGATGCTTTTCTTATTTGTGTTCTTATAAGATAAAAATATTCTTAGTCTCAGTTGCCATGTCAAAAGATCTACGAATAAAATGAATCAGTGTTGTGATACCAAAATCCCCAATTCCAACCTAAATTTGCTTACTAACTAAAGTAGAAGTCAATTGACCTTTTGTTTTGGTTCTTGTCGATATGTTAGCTGTCTGTAGCTAAGCTKCTGCTGGGTTTGACAAAAGATTAAAGTAAAACTAAGTAAAATTTTGTATTGCAGGGGACTACAAACCATGTTGTGACTGGCTTTASGGATTTGGAGCAAAAAGAAATAAATTATTTTTTTTGTAAAGTTTAAAATACAATATGTGTATTTAATGTAAATGTGCTGCACTTGCTGGAACYTGTAGAGCAGAGAATTGGGTCAGAAGGTAAATGAATCATGGGGAAAAAATGTTTTTGCTTTTGATCGAAGCACTCTGAAGCCCTGACCTGGAGGCAACAGCTYAAAAAGTCTGTGACCTGGGTGTGAGGAGTCAGAGGTGATTTATTTCCTGGTCTAGGTAAAGTAAAACATCTTGCGTGGGTGCCAAGTGAGGCACCGTGGACTGTTCTTATTGTCTCATTTAGTCACAAAACCAAACCAGACAGTTATAGAGATGCATTTATCAGACCCGATGACACTGGGTCAGGATCTTGTGTTTCATGTTGAACATCCTCAGCTTGTAGAGAAACTGCAGTCCTTACTGGGCTCTCTTATCAAGAGCATTAATGTGGGTTTTCCACTTCAGATCTTGTGTTATGGTGGAGCCCAGGACCCCGAGGAACTCTACAGCAGCAATAGTGTTCATGATGGTGATGGGTGGTTGCATTTTCACAGTTTTTTAGGTGTTAACTGGCAGGTTCTTAAAACTGCACGATACAGTCAGATGCTTGACCTCCTTCCTCTGTGTGAACTAATTGCTGATCTGGACAATTTTTTGAGCTTAACAGAGACATGTGAGGAGGTGCATACCTTAATATAAATGGAGAAGAGTAGTGATATGAACATACACCCCTGGGGAACCCCAGTACTGATTTCAAACTCTTAGTTCTGTAATTAAATGTCTTCAATAACAAAAAATAGTCATATTGCTGATTATTCAAGCATCTAGAATTTATTTCGTGTTGATGTAGTGTAATATTCTTGTTCATTCCCATCAGAATGTAAGGATCTTAAAGACTGCCTGAAGACCAAAGTAGATCTGTTGGCACCACAGCTGCCCACCTGCCTCCCAGCCCCTTTGACCAGCATTGCCTGGACTCTCCGTCCCACTCAGCATGGCACCGTAGCTGTGACCTCACCTTTAGCCCTGAGACAGGACCTACCTGAACAGAAGTGCAATGACAGTGTCATTATCAACATAGCTGAAGAAGATGGTTTACCAATTGGTGACTTCTGCCTTGAGGGAGCCATAGAAAAAGTCCTCTTACACACCAATGTGTCTTTTACTCTGAGGTCCACAACAAGGACTGAAGCACTAAGAACAAATTTCAACCCCCTGTTAGAAGTATCTTTTGAAGAGGAGATAATTGGTAACAAAAAGCTTTAACTCAATCACATTTAAAAAATAGTATTTTACTCTAAAACTTAATGTTCTTTTTTGTCTTTCTGATATTTAGAAAGATATGTGTTCACCATATCTCTATCAAACAGCACTCCCATCTTCTTAGCCACCCCCGGTTGGCCGCAGGGCATGAAGTCTTATTCCACCATCTCCTGGATTGTTTCTGTTCCTTCAAAAATGAACGCACACCTGATTTTTCTCAACTGGAGCCAGCCCAAGTGCAGGAACGGCCACACCAACATCATGGTGCGGAGAGTTGGCAGGCTTGAGGAGGACTTCAGCCGCAAGGAGATAGAGCCGGGAGGCAACAAGATCACCATCTCTGAAAACTTCTACCTCAACATGTCCAACTGTAAACCTGAAAGTGGACACTTTTACGTACTGACCAAGATCACACTGCAGAAGAGTAAGTAAAAGCACTTTTTATTGGATTTAACAGACTTTTGTACCATTTTGAACTTAAATGTGTGGACAGAAAGAAGTAATCAGAGATTAGAATTCATTTTGTTTTGTTTCAGGCTATCATCTGATCATCATACTCTGCGTGGTGGCTGCTCTGCTCATCATTTTTATCATAATACTGGTGGTGGTTTGCATCATGGTTAGGTGAGTCCTTCTCCATCTCCATCTTCTGCCACTTATATCCATAGTCTCCCTATAGCGACACTTTCCAGCTCCTCCTGGGGGACCCCAAGGCATTCCTAGCCCAGTCTTCCCCAGGGCCTCCTACCAGTGGGACGTGCCCATGAACACCTCTAAAGGAAGGCGTCCTGGAGACATCCTAATCAGATGCCCAAACCATCTCAACAGACTCCTTTCAAGGAGCAGTAGCTCTACTCCAAGCTCCTTCCGGATGACAGAACTCCTTACCCTATTGCTAAGGCGTAACCTGGCCACCCTAGAAAGGAAGCTAATTTTGGTTTCTTGTATTTGAGATCCTGTTCTTTCAGTCTTTCAGTCATGATTCATGCCTCATCGCCATTAGTGAGGGTTGTTGGAACATAGATAGAAAATCGAGAGCTTTGCCTTTAGACTCAGCTCTTTTTTCACCACAACTGACCGAAGCAATGCCCTCATTACTGAGGAGGAGACAACCCTAATCTGTTGATCTATGTCTCGTTCCATCTTACCATCACTCGTGAACAAGACGCCAAGWTACTTAAACTCCTCCATTTGAGGCAGAGATTCTCTCCTTTGTTGTTAATAGTGACAAAACTTTAACTAATTTGACAGATGCCAGATTACTTGATGGTCCTACAGGTCACAAACCCAGGAGTCTAAGGAATCATGGAAACTCCTTGAGAGCCTTTGAAAAAGATTGCATTTTAACTAAAATTTTGTTGTTGGTTTTTTTTTTCTGCAAAAAAGGAAGAAGAAGGAGAAGCTCAACAATGAAGTAGCCATCTACAATCCAGGCAACACCACCTTCCAACCAGAGAACAACGATGAGTCTCATGTGTACACATCCATYGACGAAACGCTTGTCTACTCACACCTGTTGAGAAAAGGACCAGAGATTGGTGTCTATGAAGACTATGACACCTACAAGTCCTTCACCGGACACACTGACTCCCAAACACCACCAGTCTCCAATGGTGGTGGAGATGAAAACACGGAGGGTCCTCCTCGTCCACCTCGACTCTCGTCTCAACAAGGTCTTCCGCTTCCTGACAGGCAACCAAGTTACATCCAGCCCCTGGAGGATGATAAGACTTAGCAAGCAGCCTCAAAGCAAAGAGGAACGTTCTTCAACTTCATGGCTACAGCAGGARTCAGAGGAAGTAAACTGAGCCAAAAAACTGGATTCAGCCTTCTGAYTTCCACTTTTTGAACTTTGTGCTTTTTATCCTCTGGCATCTGCGTGACTGATTGCAGTTTTCTTTACAATGAGTTTTTGTTTTACCAAGTCAGGCACAGAAAACAATCTTGCTGAAACTGTAGCTGTTGTTGCATTTTTGTTACAGGTAGTTTGCTTCCTTTCAGACAAATCTGGAAGCTACAATCAGATATCTTCCTTTTGTGTTTTGGACATTTTATAGGAGCTACTGCTTTCTGTTTGTATTTGTCTGCCTCACACCGTTGAAAACAAGAGGATGGTGATTTTGATGATGAATAATTTATGAACATGATGTTGAAGCAGATTGAACCAGCAGTGTGTTATATTTGCTTTCTATTGTTTGTCTCTTCTTTTGCACAAGCTGAGTACATAAAATATTTTTGGAAGGTTTTAGCCTTTCAAAGATACATTCATGCTTGATTACTGCTTGATTACTTCTAGTTTTAGAATTTTTGACACAAATGTGATGTTAAGCTTGAGACTCTGMTGCTTTTTAAAGAACCCTTCCCCTTCTAACAAGGTTGAGTACGGTCCTCTGAATGGGTTCTTATTTGTAGATACGTTTCGTCTTTTATCCAAAAAACTTCAGTTTAAGGAGGTATAAGCAAACTTAGTTTTTCTAAGCAGTACCTTCATATAGTGGCTCAACAAATTTGCTGGTGACACCCAAAACTGGTTGTCCACTTGCAAAAACAAGCCCATCAGCCTACCAGGCATAGACAATCCTGGTCCTGGAGGGCCGCAGCCCTGCATGTTTTACTCGTTTCTCTGCTACAACACACCTGATACGATTGAATAGATGATTATCAGGCTTCTGCGGTATGGAGGACCAAAACTGACATAACTAGAAATAAAAGCAGCATTATATGAACCACTAAAGAAATACACTTAAAATGCACCAATGAAATTAAAAAAGGAGAACTTTATCTCCTGTTTTATATTTTAATTGCCTTTCATATTTATTTTTCCAGGTTAGTTACAACAAATTAGTCCATATACTGTATTTGAACACAATTTAAAATTTTCTGTTTTTTAAATCTATATTAATGTTTTTCCCTTTACTTGTACATGCATTTGTGTGTCTTAAATGTTTATACTTATTTTTTTTCCATCAAGTCTTTTTATTTCTATGTGTTGCATGCTTGTGCTGCCTCAGTTTAGCTAAAAGTTTAAAGTTTAGTTTAAAAGAAATGCAAGGAGGAAAACATTACCTGTGCATTTAGTTTTGACTAAACTTTAAGCTAAACAGCGGCAGCACAAGCATGCAACACATAGAAATAAAAAGACTTGTACAAAATTATAAAAGATAATTCAATTTAAGCACTCGAGACACAAATGCATGTACAAGTAAAAGGAAAAAACTATGTAAAATATATATTTAAAAATATTAAAATTTAAATTATGTGTTAAAATATGTAATTTATTGGAACTAAGCTGGAAAATAAATATGAAGTTCAATTAAATTATAAAACATGAGGTAAAGTTCTCTATTTCAATTTATTTGGTGCATTTTAAATGTATTTATTTACTTAAAGGTTTATTTATCTATTTCGGCTTTTATTTCTAATTATGTCAGTTTCGGTCCTCCATACTGCAGAACCTGTGACTGAATCAGGTGTGCTGGAGCAGAGAAAAATGTAAAACACGTAGGGCTGCGGCCCTYGAGGACCATGATTGCCCACCCCTGCCCTAATCAGTAACGCCCTGATGGCGAGGGCTGAGGAATACTCATAACAGCTTTGTAAGAAGAGGACAATTGGAGAGACCTCCATGGCGAGCAGTTTCTCTTCACAAAWATGGTTTCCTTTACTTCTCTCTCAACTTTCCTCCCTACCATGTAAGTGATCATCTGTGAAAGAGTGACTGCTGTGCTGTAGATGAGTGTAAACTAAAGACTCCTGGTCTGATGATGTTGCTCTTCTGTGTTGGACCATTYTTGTGAACAGTGGCAGGTTTGTTATCCTGATGTATAACTGTTCACAGTCCTCCTGGCTCTTACACAACAATACTGTTTGTGCCAGGGGACCGGATCTTTGGCGTGAACCAGTCTTTGCCATAATTTTTTCTGGTATGTGAAAACCTGGTCATCTTGTTTAGAGAATAAACATCTGAGTTTCTGGGTCTGGGTTTGGAGTCCTCCTTTTCACCTTTTAGTCRGCTTGAGTCCTGTTTGGGATTTATTTGCTTTCAGGAAGGTCCAGTTTGGGATTTTCCTGATTAAAGACAAGTTAATTAAAAGGTTAGGGTATCCACATTGCTCCAGGGCTTGTCTGGTGTGAATACATTACAAGACTTTTTCATCCTAAAGATCCCATCCTTTTGGAATTAGCTAAACATGATGATTAAAGGTCACTGCCTGGCCAAAAAAAAAAAAAAAGTTTTGACGAATCCTGGCATTGTCATCTTGGAATATGCCCATGCAATGGGGGGCGGGGGGGATCCATTGATGGAACAACCTGGTCATTCAGTATATTCAGGYWGTCAGCTGACCTCATTCTTGGAGCACAGACKGTTGCTGAACCTAGACCTGACCAACTGCAGCAGCCCCACATCATAGACCTTAGTTAAATCCAGGTGGACACTTTGTTTTTGGTCACCATTGTATATTTAGTTGTGCTGGTTTTCCTGCTGCCACATGCAGTTCAGAGAATGAGCAGCAGAAGGAGACAAAGTTAAAGTTCCTTAAAAATAATTTTCAAGTCTGTTACAGGAAATGTACAGAGCTTTTCGTACATGTCAATCTGATGGCTGAATAGTATTTTTTTAACACAACAGTCTGTAGATTTTTATGAGGCGAAATCATGAAGGAGGACTGAAAGATAAATAGCGGGGAAAATCAAAGCTGCTGTTTTTATAAAGTTTCTGTGAAAAAGATCAAATGTTAAATTGAAACTAAAGCTTCACTCRTGATTCAAATCGTTACATCAATCAGTTTTTTTAGTTGCTGTCTGAGCGAAAATTTGGTGTGGTAGTAGCTAAGAGTTCTCGTCAACACATTTCATGTTTGTCAAAGTGGGGGCAGATAGGGAGGCCTCAGATAACTGGAGGGAAGATAAGAAAAAAAAAGGCAAAAATAAATGTGTTTGATTTGATAAATGTTTTAAATCATTATAATAGAGTTGAATCTGTATTTCAATCATTTTTCACAAATATAATTTACAATAATATAATGAAATGTTATTTAAAAGATCTTGAGAGAGGTTTGGTTTCATTTGTTCTGTTCTTTATCATCAAAAGTTAGTTTTTCAGTGTAAATATAGTGTTGAAAACGTGTTAAATAAATTCTTATGCTAAGCAAATGTAATAAATGTTGAATAATGAATAAAAGTGAGAAAAAAAATTCATAAACATTGCTGTTTCTTTACATATTTGTATCATTGTTTGTGGGTTTGCAAGGGGGGTCTGCAGACAGAAGCTAATGCTGCTTGGGGGCCTTGGCATGGAAAAGTTTGGGAACCCCTGCCTTACTGTACAGCATGTGAGCATTTTCTTTATCCTGATATAATATTAGCCTGCAATGTGGACATCATTTACAAAGTTTGACCAAAACAGCAATAATTCTGTCCTCTTTGATCACAACTCAGTCTGGTTAAAACTGCCATTACGTGATATAAATTCCTTTATTTTTATTAGTACATAGTAGTTCTCACATTGTACACAAATGAGAATAAATTCCCACGAGAAAAGGCATATTTTAATTGCAAGTGAATATAATCATAAAACAAATCTGTATTGCTTTAGTTATTTTGTTTTTGAGATTAAAACATTTAGTTCAACATTTGACTCTTATTTTGTAAGTAAAACTTGTGCTAACCTTACTTTGGTTTTTATAAGTTTTTGCACAAGATGGTTTTTTTTTCTTTGCTGCAGAAGATCACCATCAAGCTTTTCTTTTCATCCCAGCAAAGTGAGAACAAACATGACAGAGTTTATATGAAGGTTTCTTATCGCAATATCGCAAAGCAGCACTGCCTGTAGTATTTCAATCAGAAAATGTGACAATAAAAAAGCAGAGCTAAATCGTCAGATCAATTTCATTCCACTGATTAATCAACCAACATCGGCCACTTAAAAAGAAAAAAAAATCAGCCATTTGTGCATGCAATCTATTATCAAACAGGAAAAAGAGATGCATCTGCTAAAAGCAAGAATCTATTATTGATACAACTTCAATGAAGTTGGGATGTTGTGTAAAACATAAATAAAAGCAGAATTATGATGATTTTCAAACCTTTTACATTTAATTGAAATCACTATAAAGATATGGTAAGCTATTTAATGTTTATTTAAACAGATTAACTTTATTGTTTTTGGCATATATTTACTCATTTTGAATTAGAGACTGGCAACATGTTCCAAAACAGGTGGAACAGGAGCAACAAGTCTTTTCATTGAACAGGTGAACAGGTTAATTAGAAACCGGTGAGGGTCAGGATCTGGTTTAAAGGGAGCATCCCTGAAAGGTTCAGTCATTCACAATCAAGGATGGGGTGAGGTTCACCACTTTGTGAACAACTGTGTGAGCAAAGAGTTTTTAAAACAATGGGCCTCATGTAAGAACCATTGGTACACACAGATTTGTTCTTAAGTTGTGCGTACGAGTGATTTAGGAGAATTTGTGGCATTCACCAATGTTTTCGCATTCTAAAATTTTCTTCAGATACGAACAAAATTCACGAGTGGTCCAGATCTGTCGTATATTTTACGAGCAGTCAGTCTGCTGT